GCTCTAATAAATTTGTTAGTCTCTAAGGTGCCACAAGTACTCCTGTTCTTCTTTTTGCGGATACAGACTAACACGGCTGCTACTCTTAAAAAAAAAATCGGTTTCATTCCTGTCTGGATTTGGGATCAGGCCCTTGTTCCCAAAGCTGGTCACTGTCTGACAGCTGATTTTTGTCCTCACAAACCCAGTGTTGTTTAACACACACACACACAACTTTAGTTCCTCTGCCCTCTGGGATGAAACTGTTAGAGGGGTGGGGGAAATAACACCTCTTCTCTTTGGCTGCAGGGCCAGCTGGGAGCGACTCTGGATCCGAGCCGGCTTCTTTCGGTGGAATGAGTGAGGCCGGTGGCTTTCGTCAGCTGCTGCCTGTGATACGCGGCTGGAGTCTAGGTGTGTAGCGGGGGGTGGTGATGTGTCGGCCCTGCACTGATTGTCATTCTGTCTGATAGCACAAGAGAGTGCAGGGCTATGTGTGGAGAGACCTGCGGGAGAAGGACCCTGCCTTGTCAGGCCATGGACTGGGAGGGGGCTCTCATGTTTCAAATTGGCTTCCAGGGGCTACAGTCCAGTATCTCCATATTTTGAGTTGAGTTGGCTTGACATACATGGCTGCTTGCCAGCTGCCTTTGCTATGGTGCCAAAGGGGTATAGCATACATCTGTGTGCCAATGAGCGTTTCCACCTTCCACACTCAGGCTTTTTCCTTCTGCCTGACCCTAGTGAAAAAGCCGAATCCTGTGTTCCGGGGATTGCAGCCCGTTGTCCTGGCGATGATGCTGATCTCACGATCGCAGCATGATGACTTCACTGCAGGGTGTGGAAGGAGGAGACAGCTATTTCCTCAGCGAAATGGCCAGGGGACCATGACAGACAGTACAGGAAAGATTTCCTCCCCGGCTGAGAAGGTCTCCTTTAAGAAGAACTTTGGTCCTCCAATTCCATGAAAGACCCACTAATGCCTCATGGGAAATCCTGGAAAGCATTGTTTAGATTAGACACATTTCTGCTTGTATCCATTTCCATTGTTTCTCTTCTCTCCTCCTCCCTTTATTCAGAAGGAGATCTGTGTCCGAACAGGGCCACAGGGGGTAGCCTTCAGCTAGGATAGGCTGCGTGCGCATGGCCATCTTTGCTATACCCAGGGCCGGCTCCAGGCACCAGCTTAACAAGCAGGTGCTTGGGGCGGCCAAGGGAGAGGGGCGGCACCTGCGGCAATTCGGGGGCGGCAGGTGCCTCACTCCCTCTAGGAGCGAAGGACCTGCCGCTGAACTGCCGCCGCCGATCGCAGCTTTTATTTATTTATTTATTGCTTGGGGCAGCAGAAATGCTGGAGCCGGCCCTGGCTGGACCCTGGCATTCCACTGGGTTGATGAGCTGCAGGTGGCGGCAGGGAAAATGTTGACCAAAGACTCTATTTAGAAAATATATTGATTATTATTCTTTTATGAATTCTATGTGCCCAGAAACGTGCTAGATCCTTCACAAAGTAAAGACACGTCCAGACAAGCTCTCTGCCCCAGAAAGCGTCCAGCCTCCATTCTGCACGACGCAGCAAAGGCAAGTCAGAAGGATGAAAAGCGGGAAGGGGAGAGGACAGCCCAAGGTGACCGTGGTAAGATCAGCACCTCAGCGTCTTCTGCCCAGCACCTTTCATCTGGGGACCCCCAAAGCACGTTACAGACCTTCCTTGGGCCTGGCAGCATGCCTGCAATGAAGGGCATTGTAAGAACTCTCCTTCTGTGGATCAAAGTTTAGGCTCCTCTGATTTGGGAGGCCCAATCTGAGACCCCCTTTGGGCCAGATTTTCAGAGGCGTTGAGCCCCTGCCGCTCCCATCAGGCCGGATCCTCAGTTGGCATAAATTGGTATAGCCCCTTCCATGGAGCAAACACTGCTTTACATCAGCTGGGGATCTGACCCCTTGACAGCAATGGTTTTCCAGGCAGCTTCAGCAGCTCTTTAACCCCTTCATGACTGCGGGGCTCTATCTCAGCAGCAGTGCATGTGGACGCAGGGCCGGCTCCAGACACCAGCAAAGAAAGCAGGTGCTTGGGGCGGCCAACGGAAAGGGGCGGCACGTCCGGGTCTTCGGCGGCGGGTCCCTCAGTCCCTCTGGGAGCGAAGGACCCGCCGCCGAATTGCCGCCGAAGACTGAAGCAGCGCGGTAGAGCTGCCGCCGAAGTGCCGCCCATCGTGGCTTTATCTTTTTTTTATTTTTATTTTTTTCCCCGCTTCGCCGCTTGGGGCGGCAAAAAAGCTGGAGCCGGCCCTGGGTGGACAGTTCGTGCCCAAGGACGGAATGCCGGGACGTGGCAATGGTGGTAATGAGCAAACAGCACTGCCGAAACAGCCCGGGTGAGCAAAAAGCAGCAAGGAAAGGGTTACGTGGCGGGTGTCATACGTACCAAACTCCTGCCGAGGGCCAGTGACCTTGTCTGTACTTGGCATTTGCCCAGCAACTGCTGTAGCTCCCCCCCAACAAGTGTAGAGAAGCAGGATAAGCTCAACCCGTGCAAATCATGGCTTTCCTTGTCTGCACTTGGCATTCGCCTTGGGCCGCTCCACTGCTCCATGGCCACTGGTGCCGGAATCCCAAGGACAGAGCAGGCCAAAGAAAATGCTGCCCGAAGGCTATTCCCAGAGCCAATATTTTACACTTCCTCCCCGCCCGTTTTCCTTCACCATTTGTCTCTTGTTGCTGGCCTGCTGGCTTCAGTCTCCTCTAATGGGTAGCTCAGCGGGCTACTGTGACCCCACCAAGAAGGCCAGAGTTTATGGATTACTTTGGCAATGCCGCTCATCTGTTCCCCCAAAGCCGCGCCAACCAATTCTTGCCAAATGCAAACACCTGATCAACGTGCTAACTGCAGCGTCTCCGTCGGACAATGAAAAAACTGGACGTGTTTCCACGCCAGCCTTATTAGAAAAGTTTCTTAACCAGAGGTTGTGCTTGTAATTAAATAACTGCAACTTGGCTCCCCAAAACAGGAGGAAAGGGCAGTTTAAAGACATATTAAATCGAGTTTTTGGCAGTTCTCCTGGACTAAAAACAATTTGTGAATTTAAAGTGTTCTGTTTCAAATGTGGGACCTAGCTTTAAATACAATTAAATAAAGATGTGCAAGACAGAGGGAAGGCAGAGCCTTATTCCCACTTAGAATAGTGGGGGTGGATTTAGTAATGTTGGATTCCAGGAACAAACTTTGAACTACAGTCTTTTCTCTGAATGGTGGATGTGTATGTGTGCGTGGATGCGTGTGTGGATGTATCCACGCTACTGTGGTAAAGGCCAATTTTTCCAAGGTCTTCAGCTTGGCTTCTGCTCTTGCATTTCTGCACTCACTCTCATTTGCACACTCAAGTTAAAGGCTTGGCACATGCAAGTGCCAGAATGCGCAGAGAAACAGACCGCTGATGTGATTATCTGAGGAAAATTACAGGCTACTTTTCTCTGGCTCCGCTTTAACGCACTGCACTTCTGTCCCGTGAAAGATCTGCTTCTGTGAAGCAAACAGAGAAAAATGCTTTGAAATGGGATGTGGGGGGGGGGAGCGGGGAGGCAGTGGAAGAATCCAGCCATTTGCATGTCGAGTTCCAGAAGCTAAGATCAATATCCTTGTGATACAAGATCCATAGGGACAGAGACAAAAATACATGTTGACTATTTGTGAAACATAATACATTTCCTACAGAAGATAACAATCTTGATTGAGCTTTAGACAGGAACATTTGTAGGACTCAGGTTTATATCTGCGCTAGTGACAGGATTTCTTACTAGAACTTTTATCCATTCTAGGGTGCAGTGTTTGAATATATAGACCCCTTCCAGAAAATGTATTTACTCTTCTGAAACAATAACCAGAATATGAAACTCACCTTCTTTGGAAAGTGCTTGGAGATCTAGGGATAGATGGATGGAAAGCACTATGGAAGTGCTAAGCATTTATGATTAGTAATTATTTTAAACCTAGCTTCTACTCTCTTTTTCATGGCAGAAACCTGGCGTACGTCAGTCAGTTGTTTTCAGATTCTTTGTATTTGGCTTAATGCACTTCAGACACCAAGCATGCTCCAGTTCCAACCTCAGGGAGATTCATGAATGTATCCGAACATGCTTCTCCAAATATAGGGGATAATCAGATAATCAATCTGTGTCCCAGCGAAGTCAATGGCAGCTGCCCCCTTCAAAGGCCCTGGGCACAGGGATCCTCACTCACAGTGGTTAGATGTGTCCTCGTGGAAGCCAGTTAAACCCGTCCTGTCCTGTCTCAGCAGCACGCCTAGCCCGCGCCTCCCGTCATAACCTACATGTTAGAAATCAAGTCAGCATTCATGGAATGGTTATTGTGCAATAATCTAATAACACTTAGTGACCGTAGCTTTTAGGCATGGCCAAATTCTCTGATGAAGGGAATGAGTTGAGCAAGCTGAGAACTTGGCCCCACTACCTGGTTACTTGGGATTGCACATGTGCGAGCGGGTAGCTGAGAGGTGAATTGTGAGGTGTCCTACTCGGATAACACGGATAATCGAGTAGCATTTGGATCCCAGCCCAGATTCTGCTCCTGGTGGTTTTGTGAGATGTATTTAAGCCATCCGTTGCTGGGCAGTGGGGGTGGGGAAGGGCGAACCAACCGAAAAGGGGCTCTAAAGTGCATTACTTCTGTGGTTAAAGGTCCCTGGGTTGGTCCATAAATCCAGCCTGAGTTCTGTTTATTCTGTTTACTGCACTTACCTAACCTGTGAGCCTCGCTGTAAATCATGGGAAGTTGTGATTTATAGAGCCCCACGTCTCCCCGTGGAGTGTGCTCAGTGTCCCCGCATGGAAACCGTACTCCTCCGGGAGAAAGGAGATAAGAGCACTAGAAGCCATATATCTATCCACACGGCTACTACTGCTTAAGATTTCAGCATGATCAAGCGTGTCGCCAGCTGATGGGCACGGCAACCCCAGCTTGATTATTTTAGGTAGCACCAAACTGAACTGACAAGAAGCCGGAGACTGGAGCGGATTGTCTCTTCTGCCCAAGCCACCACAGTGAGCTTTGACGGTGCTGGCACCCTCCAGACTGAGCAGAACCCAACCAGTGCCTCAGGCAAACCCAGCACCCCACAGCGTAGCAATGGCTCAGAGAAAGGAGAGGAAAGTATGGGACTGGCTAGCCTGTGGATTTGACCTCAACCATGTTGTTTACAGGGACTCTCCCAATGAGCAAGGGAAGAGGCAGCAGGAAGGATGTGTGTGTTATATACACCCTCGGCCACACAGATGTCGGTAACAGCAAGTGAATGTATAGAGAGAGAATGGAGGGAGGCTTCTCGGTTTATTATCCCAATCTTGCAAATGGGGAAACTGAGGCACAGAGCGCATACGTGTCTTGCCTGCGGCCACACAGCAAGCCAGTGGTGGATCCATGATGGGAACTCAGGAGTTCCAGGGTCCGAGTCCCCTAGGCGCCCTCCTGTGCCTCAATGGGATACTAGTCCTGATATCTGATGTTGCTCTTCCAGACGACAAGGTGACCAGTGAGATAACGCCCCCTGCTATTCCCCTATTGATGGCAAACAAACCATCCTCACCTGAGAGGTGCTGATTCCTCATGAGTTGAAACTGGCAGTCAGATAAGAGAGTCCTTTCCAGACGACAGCAACCAGCTGTTCTGTAGAAGCCCGAGCAGCATGCAGAACGCATGGACGTAACCCATATTATCTAGCAAAAGACACAGCCAGGAGTGGTAGTAAGGACGACTCAGGTAATCACAGCAACAGGTGTTCAAAGAGTAAACGTCCCCCTTCTATCACCCACCTGGCTATGGTGCACCAGCCCACAGCTGCAGGCGTCGGGAGGAGAGACGTTCTGGGCGCTGTTTGGCCCTGGCAGAAGCACATGCGGGCTCATTGGACGCTCTGCCTACGGACGGCGTGCCTTAACACAGCAAATCCCGGGCAAACTGAAACTGGACTCCCCCGTCAATAGCACCCATGGAACTGCCCGAGGCAACGCCAGCCACCGCCAAGGTGAGCGGGAGGGGCACGCTCAGCCAACGCCAGGATTCTTGGACATTTCATACCTAGCGTGGCGAGTGCTTCCCTCTCTTGGGTCTGCCTGGCTTCGCTTGGACCAGACAGGCTGCTCCGCTCCCCGCGCCCCTGTTCCCAATCAAGCCGCCTGATGAGTCCCCCGGCCCTTTCCGTTATGACTTTGCTGCCAGTTTTGATGCTAACCATTGCGCCCACCAAAACTCCTGTTTTAAGCAAGACGCACGAGCGCCCTGGTGCTGATTTCTCCTAGATAGCCAGAGCTGTCTGTGCTGCAGGGCTTGTCTCACCAGGGGGGAGAATGAGAGAAAGATCAGGCCGGGTCCCCGCTGTTTAGTCTACCAATCAGATTGGTGACAAGGAGTCTAGCAGCTGGCAGAAAGCACTTTTACAATTGCTCTGATGCCTGCTTCAAACTGTTTGGCTGGTGGCTCTTTCTTGCTTTCTTTCTGAATCATTGAGAATGTAGGAGGGCAGGAAGAGTTACAGTGGGGAGGCAAAGAGTCTCAACCCCCAATATTCACATCAAGGAAATGGGACCCAGCTTTCGTGGGACTGCTGACCCCAAACCCAAAGG